TCTTTCTGTATCTCTTTGTTGCTTGCTTGGTTTCTCTCCCCCTCTCCTGTTGTTCCTTCTTTTCCTCCCTTTGCTCGTTCTTTCTTCCTTTCTTTCCTCTCTCTGTCTGTCTCTCCCTCTTTCTGGCCTCTCTCCAGTAGCACAAGATTTGGAGCCGATTGTCTATTTATAGCACCTGTGGTTCTGTCACCATGACAACCAAGCTGGAGGCCAGGGCGCCAGGGAGCTATTTTTGGAGCAGCGCTGTAATGTCAGACACAGCCTTCTCTCTCTTTTCTTTCCTCTTCTTTCTCTGCCTCTCTCCCCCTCTCTGGATGCAGTGTGTGTGTTTGATTAAGGATCGGCTGGTGAAGCCTTCGGTTTGGTCGGCTCGCAGTGTGAAGCGTTAATGTACAAAGAAGCAGTAAGCCCATCGAATTGCTCCACTCAGCGGGCCGTGCATGATTCTCTTCCCCCCACCCCCCACCCCGAGGAAGCGCCAAGACCATTTTCTGATTTCAGCTTTAGTTTTCCCGTGTGCACAGATTGATTTCAGCGTCCTACAATGACAAAAATCCGTTTTGCAGTGCAGAAATCTGGAGTTTGCTTTGAATTTTTAGGTTGTGCAGTTTAGCTTAATGATACATTTCTATTGCCCAGTGAACTCAAGGAAAGATTAAGTAAAAGGTGCTCTTTGTGCTCTTTTTATGGTGTAATAAAATAAATGTGCTATGTCTCGATATTTTAAGTGTCTACATTAAATATATATTGGTGTCATTGTCATTAACAGTAAAGTTTTTTAAAGATAAGCCTGACTGTAATGCTAATGTTTATTGTTTTAAAATTCTAGCAATCCCACCTGATGCTTAACTTTATTTACAGAATGTAAGCAATTTAACTTTTTTTAAAATTTTGAGCTGTTTAACCAATCTAACCGAAATGTCAGTTTGACAGACATATTCATTTGCTTTCTTTGTTAATAAACAAGTGTTTGACAGTTTTCTTTGAAAGGAGGTGACGTGAACACGAAAAAAAAATGACTTGTTGAACTTTCTAAAAAAAAAAAACTGGTAGACTTAAATAGATCGGAGCAGATGTGGAAAGAGGCACTTTTTAGGGACGTGACCCTGCTAACTTGTACGTGTGTGTCCGCCTGTGTGTTGCGCAGCCGATCAGAAGAACCACTCGGATGCAGGGCAAAGTTTTCCAGATGTTGTGTAATTGTATCACAGTAAGCCATAAAACTCTGATAGTTATTTAAATGTCAGAAAATATACTTGAAAATTATTCTTATTTTGTTTGCATTTGGTGTCAGAGTTAGTTTGTTCTTTGATAATGATAAATGCTGGCAAACGTTAATAAATAATGACAACATGATTTAAAAATGTAAAGTTTCTCATAATTGAATTTATACATACATATAGCCTACTCAGAGTATCTTGTTAAATGTATTATGTTTTTTTTTTTTCAAGTAAATGAAACTGATAATTCAGGATATTTTGCAGGCCAGCTATAAGTGTGCCGGCCAGACAAGTCAACACAGTTGTACAGTTTAATCCCGTGCAGAGCTGAGGATGTATACCAGCTCATAATCTGGGTAATCCTTTGTCCTAATACTGCCACTTTAACAAGATGAATGCATTATGAGAGTTTTATCAGCTTTGCTGGGACAGCATGCTGCTGTTGATGGTATGACTCCTTAAGTCTGTAAAGCACACAGAGATCTCACTTTGATTGTGGAGAGAAGAGGAATTACAAAGCAAAAATTCAAAGTAGTGCTTCCCTGTAGAGCTCCTTTTTCAGATTCTGTTTTTTATATGCGCTGGGGATACAGTTAAAACACTCTGCTGGAAGTGTTTTCATAACAGTTAGTTCTTAAAGCAAATATATATATTTTTTAGCTTCTTAGTTTTTGGTAATTCTTAAAACAGGCTTTTAAATAAAATTTACCTGAAAATTATTTCATTCTTGAAATAGAAATTGATGTATTGTTTTAAATTTAACAAGCATGTAATCAAACACTTAGCATGAATCTAAATAAAAGCATAGTAAATAGAGCATTTTAAAAATAGGTTACTACTCTTAATAATTTTTCCCTACAACTCCCTCCAAAGTCTAGACAAAGTAGAAAGTTTTTTTTTTTTTTAAGTAATGTTTAAAAAAAATGCGCTTTATCTTTTCATGTAAATACATGGTTATTTTCAAACCAGACAAGTGTCCTGTGCGTATTTCCAGAGTTTAAGTCAGCCTGTCTGCTACCCCAGAATAACCCTGACAGGTTATACATACACCGCAGACCTCTCTGTTACTGGGGCAGCCACTGTTATTTAGTTTAACTTACTCGGCACGGTTATTATTAGCATTTCTCCTATTAATAGGGAGAACTGCTAAACACTAAGCAGTGTGTTTGTCCTGGGCGTGTCGACGCCTCAGACCAGAGCAGTAGATAAACAAAAGTTTGGCCTCGGCAGATGTCGATGGCAGCCATGTTTACTCCGTCATCATTAGAACTGTAGCTTTCGGATTCTGTCGCATCCTTATTATTTATGGGTTTTTTTGGGGGGTGAGGGGAGTTACGGTAGGATGAAGTTACATGCTTGCGGGGTCTGAGCTGTGGATACGGGGGCTGCTGGGCTCTGAACATTTGTCCACTGAGGACTCTGGGTGTGCTGACACAGCAGAGACACTGTGGTGTGGGATCAGCTGAGCCACTTAGCCCCTGCAGAGAGCCGATGGTACCATGGGTTGGCTGCTTAATAGCCTCCGTGTGTGTTTTATATGAATATCCGTATCAGTGTGCATTTGAAATACACATGGACCGCTCTTTGTTCTGCAAACTTGACACTTGTTTCTTCTTCCCGAGTCGATTTCCTTTTGTGTAGTCCACTAGTACTCTGGCTTCCGCAGACCCAGCCCCCTGTTCCTCTCAGTGTGTTACCTGCAGCCCTCCTGTCACATTTCACCCCTGCCTGCCACATTCCTAGTTATCTCAGAGGGGGCTACATACCTGTTCTCCGAGAGGCAGCCACAAGCAAGCGTCTTGCCTTTCTAGTTATGAGAATGGAGTGCAGGCAGTCGGTCAAAGCAGACGGCGGGACAGGCCAAGAATTAAACATAGTAGTTTGTCTGCATTCGCAGCCACTTTTTTTTTTTTTTTAGCAAGTAACCAGGGTTTAAAACAGAATCCCTGCAGAGTTTTTTTTTTTTTTTTTGCCAAGGAAACTTGCCAGTTGAGGTTGCAAGCAGGATCTTAAAAATCTAAATCTTCTGACAGTAGCAGAAACATTCTTTATTTCAGGTGAAGTGGTGCACCTCCACTATGAAACACAGCAGGAAATCTTGTCTTTAAAAATAAATGTGGTCATTCCAAATCCATTGTTAGCAGCTGCATTTGTTGTGACCAGTTCAACCAAACAATGTTTTACCTTTTCCTTCTTTTATTAGAATATTTAAAGGTCTGAAGAAGTTATATATGTTATGTCAATTTGTAACATCAGGGATTTGAAAGGCTAAAAAAAGCAGTTCAAACTTGCTGTTGACCTTCCACCTGACTGGCACAATATGTCATTTATTTTGTCTGTCTCCAAATAGGGTCACATTGGCACTCGGATTGCATCAGATATCTGTAAAGCTTCCTTTAGACCCCTAAAAGTATCTGTTCTGAATTTTAATTAAAGTTGACCTGAATTACATTTTATTGTATAATATATTGTGGTAACACATAAGAGGAAAAGGCCAGGAGCAAATTAGTGATTGGATGCTTTACGTGAAATTAATATTGTGATTGGTAGATATAATCTTCCTTTCTGTAGTTGTGTGGTTTGTTCACCCTTAAGAGGAATTGTTGTGGAAAAACCTGCAGCACTTGTGCTTGATCGATGCAGGCTATTGGGACACTTAGATAGTTGCCACTGCAGCTTAAAGATAATCACCAAATTCCTCCCAGTGTAGCAGAATGGTTCTTAGTTCAGCCCACTCCTCTTTCCACTGCCGCTGCTGAGCCACTCCTGTCCTTCTTCCTAAATAATGTTTCTTCTGTACGTCTGAAAGCACTGTCATGACAGCTGGGATGTTTAAACCTCTGTCTTTCATTGTGTGTTTTGTCCATGTTTGTCTAAAAGACTCTAACATGACCATCCAAGTCCTCACATTCATTTTATGTACACATGTATCGTGGGACAGCAGCCGACACACAAGGATGAATGAGTAGTCAGTTGTTGTTTATTTTTTCCTCCGTTTAACAAAGACACTTAAACTTCTCGAGCCTGGGATACATCAAAGATGTTCCATCTTAACTGATGCTCATGTAGAAATATCTGTGATCTTTCTGTGGGCCAATTTTTTGGAGTCCTGAGTTGGTGTAGCAGACATCTTTAGCACATGACCCTGATACACTCATTGTGAAAACATCAGAGCGACTCACACACCTTGAAAAGCATAGGCCAGTTCGGCAGAACAGTTAAAACGCGTTTGGGTAGGCACTGTGCAAATGCGAACGCACCGTAGGCCTGCATACCCACCCACGCACATACACACTGCCACATGCACGCACACACAGACACACACTTCTCCTCCTGTGCAAGTACTACTACAGCAGCTCCATTGACGAGGCTTCTCCGGTCTGACAGAACAAACGGCTGCTGGTGACTCAGACTGGCTGCCTCTGATCTCACTGTGAATTAAAACACACGCCCCCTCGTGGTTGCTCAAGGAACACCGTCCTCCATCTTTCTCTGATCTCACTACTGTACTGGGGTGCACTGCTACTTGTATGTGCTGTGCTGTGTGGCCATACTGTTCTCACATTATAGTAGGTCTGGATTTTAAATTACAATGACATCTGGTAAATGTATTGCTAGATAGTGTTTGTTTGATATTTACTGAAAGCGGGTAGTTAAAATGACATGTTCTACTGGGTTACTGTGAATATATTATACATTATTCTGTCTTTGTGTTATTGTATTGCTATTATACTGTTGTGATGCTGATCTAACTGGCTCTATTTTCTGTTCTTTTTGCAGCTTCTTAGACAGGATTGACGTGGTGAGGCAGAACGACTACACACCCACCGATCAGGTGAGATGTTCAACGCTGTCTTAATATAGACTTAGTACAGGCCTTATTCACTGAACTCAATCTAGAACTGAAAAAAGCACACTGTAAATAAAACAAAACAAAAAGATTAAATCAAATTAATGCTGGCTGAATTCCATGTTTGGAGCTCTAGTTTCAGGGTCCTGGCACTGAGCATGCTGGCTCTCTGTCACACTGTCATGACTCACTCAGCCAACATTAATGTCATTTTGTTACACTTTTGCTTTTGCTGCTATGGCAAGTCAAAAAAAAAAAGTGTGAAACCACTTAACCAGAAGCAAAATTTCTAATACTGTACTCCTCGACACGACATGCGTACAGTGCACAAAATGAGCATGCGCAGTAACAAGCTTGCTGTGCAGTCAGTACTCATAGTCTCAAATTGTGCACAAATGTTTGCAAAGGCTCTAAGTTGGGCAGATGAAGGCTAATGATTCGGAATGTATCGACAAAACCTGCAAGAAGACTGAATATATTGTAAATATGCCTGATCATATAGTGCACCACAAGTCAAAAAAACACAGCAGAAGCCACAGAAACTATAGAACCCTAGCTAATGCTACCATCAGTTTGTCACTGCTCTCCCTGTCAAAAAAACACACCTGGCTGCTGCTTTGGTGGTCCAGTAGAGCTATAAAGTTTTTACCAGCCTTGTGTTTTTCTTTACCTGCTCTGTCTATATTCCTGCCACACAGTGTGTGGATTAGAATGTGCTGTGTGCATATTCTGAGACTGAATCAGTGAGTTGCCGGGCCGAGCAACTTTTCTGACAGAAAAGTTTGCACGTAGCATTCCTGGGGTCATCCATTGTCCCCTTTTCCTTGAGCCAACCAATCAATCAAACTGAGCAAAATTGGGTCAGCTGTTAGGCAGCAGCCCTTTGTAGAATTGCGCAAAGGAAATGTTAAAATGAACGTATAAAATGTGACACTTTGTCTTGTGGGATTCTTTGCAGATAGATGTGTACATATACTATGTTTATCTTTCTATTGTTGGAGTTTTTAGGGAACTGTGCGTACATTTTACACATTTTTAGACACTCCAACGTAAAACTATATAGTGGAGACTAAATATAGCCGGTTTTCTGCTTCTTAAATATTACATCTTGACTGGATATCTTGAGATTTTACACTGTTGGTATAACTGTGAACTGTGAATTGATACTTAACGTTGTCTTACAATTTATGTATTATGCAGTCCGTCAGTTTATCAAGAAACAATGTTGTTATTATTGTTGTTGTTGTTGTTGTTGTTGTTGTTGTTGTTAACAACAACAAAATTATCTTACCTGAGTGATAATGGGCTTTAAATTGTGAGTGTCTTTTGTCTAAAGAAAAACAGCCTATTAGTTTAAGTATTTTATTTCCAGAGGAGAATTTGCACCTCAACTCACATTTTATGCTCTACTGTTGACATCCTCTTTCTTTTCCTCTGCTTTTGACATACCTACGTTCATCTTCTGTGTGCTCTACATTCTCAACCAGTTCCATTTTCTTTAACCCTTCTATTCCTTCTCTCATTTTCAGGACCTGCTGCGATGCAGAGTACTGACATCTGGGATCTTCGAGACAAGATTTCAAATAGACAAAGTCAATTTCCAGTGAGCTGCCACAAACTTTTATTGATCATAATGTTGGATGATGAATTAATAGTCATGAAAGAAACCATTGATTCAGCTGAAAAGGCCTTGTTTCTGCTCACCATCCATGTCATGTTTTTTTGCCTGCTTTTATAGTGTAAATTAAACTTTTAACCTTCTGTGTTTCACAGTATGTTCGATGTTGGAGGTCAGAGGGATGAACGACGAAAATGGATCCAGTGTTTTAATGGTGGGATGGTTGGAGCTTGCCCTGCCTATTTGTTGTGATAAAATGATGATGGCTTAACTATGCAGTTATTTGTTTACAGTAATTTACTAAATAATTTTTATTCATATTTAGGAATTTGTATCTAGTTCAGTCATGTCCATTTGTTTATTTAGGTTTTGAGCTAAGAACATGTGCTTATATCTGAGTTTTTTTGGTAGTTTTCTCATATTTGGTGTGTTAATCCCAGTCTGGTGTGTGTGTGTGTGTGTGTGTGTGTGTGTGTGTGTGTGTGTGCGCGTGTGTGCGTGTGTGTGTGTGTGACACAGATGTGACAGCGATCATCTTTGTGGTGGCGAGTAGCAGCTACAACATGGTGATCAGAGAAGACAATCAGACTAACAGACTACAGGAAGCCCTCAATCTTTTCAAGAACATTTGGAACAACAGGTCAGAAACAATTTCAATTTGTCCATTGTTAGGTTTTTGCTGTTATTTTTTTGACCAATTTCAGTTTTGTTATCTCAAAGTACAAATTCAAAGTAGTTGTTATAACAAAATATAATGAATATACACACATTAAAAAAATATAGCCTAAAAAAGTACTTCATGTAAGAGGTTTATCACTACCCTGGAACCAGATAGGATGAACAATCCTACATTTTATTTAATTTCTTACTACAAAAGAGTTTATGTGTATTCTGGTATTTAATGTAAAGAAAGGTTTTCAATATTCACCTTAAATGCTAAAACAGAAAATGTAACGATGATGTACACTTTATGAGAGTTGCCTCTAATGCGTTTTGTGTAAATCTGCGCGCTAAGCCAACACTCCCAGCTGTGAACTGATGTGCTGCATGTTCTATTCTTTTAGCATCAACACCCATAAAAAACACCTAACATAAAATGTTTAGCTTACTACCACTTCTTTTCTGTGGATGTCTTGCTAAATGAAGAGAGAGTCAATGTTGAAGTAGAGAAATGCTACTAGAAATTGTACAATGCAGTCAGTACAGAGTTTTATGTCGCACACTTACAGTAACTCACAAACAGCACAGTGTGTTTTGGTCCACGCTACGGCTTTGTCTCTCTTCTTTTTGTCTATTTTTAACTCATTCTAATTCTATAAGAATAATTATGCAGCAGGTTTTTTTATAAGACTCAACCTGCACTTTGCAAATCTTTTTGTAAAAATATTTTTACAGATTTCAAATGCTATTTCATTCATGACATAAGACTATTCTTGTTTAGTTTAATACAACTGGAGTACCACTGCATCATTCAGTGGCAACAGTGTATGACAACTTTTTTTTTTTTTTTAAATTAAAAAATTTAATGTTGCTGCTTCAGGCTGTGTGTAGTGGGAGGAAACAATGACTAGATGCTGGGTCCTTCTTTGACTTTTCTTTCCCTGTGTGAGACTGTTTATGGCAGAAGCTCTGAGACCTTTTCAACTCCAGAGAGTACATTATTCCTATGTTCTTTAGCCAAAGCCTATTAAAACATAATTCTGTTTGAAACACATTGGCTCTCCAGCAACAGACCTGTAACATATTTTGAGACTTGAGCTAACGAAATCGAAAGAAACCTGGCACTAAACTCATTCATTTCCCTCCACAGGTGGCTACGGACCATTTCAGTAATCCTCTTCCTGAACAAACAGGACCTGCTCGCTGAGAAGGTTTTGGCAGGGAAATCTAAAATCGAGGAGTATTTCACAGAGTTTGCACGCTACACTACACCTGATGATGGTAAGACCAGCTCTGATTTTCAGTTGACTCTGACTTGCTGTCAGTCACTAGAAATAGTTTTCATCATGTGTAGCACAAAATAAATGTGGCTTAAATGTGACCAGATTTCTTATTGTCCAACAGCAATACCTGAACCAGGAGAAGATCCCCGTGTTACCAGGGCGAAGTACTTCATACGGGATGAGTTTTTGGTGTGTACAAAGGTGGAAGTCAGACAAGTAAAGCTGTTTTTGTCAGTTGAAATTTGATCAGTTTCCTCATATGTTTCTTTTTCATTACGGTATAGCATGAGACGGGATAATTAAAGACCCGACTTTGCAAAAAAGTTCTATTCTTGTTATAATCGTTGAGCAGATTTACATGGGATGTAGGTTCTGAATAGGATCCAACTTGACCACTTCAGAAAAAGATTTTCTCCCCTAATGTTATTAGAACATTTTTAAAGATTAGTTGGATATAGTTTTAGCAATTATCAACTAAATTCTGAATGTATTTAAATAAATCAACAGCATCCAGGATTTTAGATTTACTGCCTATAGCATTACCAAACTTGTGTATTTCCATTGCACATACTGTATATACCATCTTTCATCTAACACTTATCCAGCTTTTCTCAATCTGTAACACTTTTATCTAATTACATTTAAATTTAGGCTTAAAAATAAATAAATAAATAAAATTTTTTTAAAAATAATATATGTATATATATATATATATAATTTTAAATGGTGACTTTTTATAAACTAAATGTAAGTTTGTGTGTTATAAGTCCAGTGGGGTATACTACGAAGCAAGTTTAACATAGCCAGGCTTTCTTTGTGTAAGTCAGCTTGAGAAAAACCCAAAAACCAAAACCGTAGTCAGAGACAACTTATACCATTAACTTTCCTTGTTAGATTAAGCTTTCTGCTTCAGACTCTGGGCTGGAGCCTATCCCAACCGACTCAGGCCGAAGGCAGGGCACATCCTGGACAGGTTGCCAGTCTATCACAGGGCTACACATAGAACCAATACATAAGAACCATGCAACCAAGCACACTTGCAGACAATTTGGAATCACCAGTTTACCTCAGCATGTTTTGGGACTGTTATTGGAAGAGAACCCACGGTGCACAAGGAGAAGTTGCAAACTCCACGCAGAAAGATCCCAGGCATCCTAACTGGGACGCAATCTGGGGATCTTCTAGCTGCGAGCCACTGTGCAGCCCTAACAAATACCAGTAGAATATAAATCCATCCATTATCTATATACCACTTAATCTTCACGAGGGTCGCGGGGGGGCTGGAGCCTATCCCAGCCGACTTAGGGCGAAGGCAGGGGACACCCTGGACAGGTCGCCAGTCTATCACAGGGCTACACTTAGAGACAGACAACCAAGCACACTCACATTCACACCTACGGACAATTTAGAATCACCAAATAACCTCAACATGTTTTTGGACTTGTGGGAGGAAGCCGGAGAAAGCACGCTGCATGGGTAGAACATGCAAACTCCACGCAGAAAGATCCCGGTGCCCCCACCAGGACTCGAACTGGCGACCTTCTTGCTGCAAGGCAACAGTGCTAACCAACTGCGCCACCTTGCAGTAGAATCTAAATGTTTCTATGAAATTCAGACGGAAATATCACAGATGGACATGTCAGCGTTCACACGGCAAATCTGGCTCCAGCCCTCCATGACCCTAGTGAGGATTAAGCGATGTATAGATAATGGATGGATGTCCAATTTTGTTGAATCAACAGCATGATGAAAAACAAAAAAGAAGAAATTTTTCGACTTTTATCTGTAATCATTCATGAGATATTGTCATCCAAACATAGCGTCAAATTTCAGTGTGTGAAAAAACAAGGTGAAAGTGCAGTTTTAAAAAATATATATCTACGTTAAATTTCAGGCAAATCAGAGATGGTTAAGGAAAAGTTGTTCCAAAAATGTGATGATTTGAGATGGAAAGACTGATATACAAAAATAGTTCATGAAACAGCATTGTCTGCGCTGACTTGTCTCTGTTTGTATGTCTCCTGCAGAGGATCAGCACAGCCAGCGGGGACGGACGGCATTACTGTTACCCTCACTTCACCTGCGCCGTCGACACAGAAAACATCCGCCGCGTCTTCAATGACTGTCGTGACATCATACAGAGGATGCACCTACGGCAGTACGAGCTCTTGTGATGGACCGCAGCGCCCCGGTCTACTTATCTACCTACGAACCTACCTAGCTACTCCTCCCTCCCTCCCCCATGACCAGTTAGCCAATCACACCCCCCCCCCCCCCCTTCCCCCAACTTCACCTAACCGAGCGAGCGACTGACCGCCTGGCCTCCCCTCCACCCTGATGCAATTCCTCGAAAAACAGAACGGTGGAAAGAGTCTTTTTTTTTTTTTTTTTTTTTTTTAAATAAAAAAAAAGAAAAAAGAAGAAGAAACAACGTCATGGATACACACCGACAACAGTTTCATCAACTATTAACCTGGACTGACTGCTGTACTCAGCTACACTTTGACCCAGGAAAGAGGGTCGAGACTGGAATCCCTCAGTGTAGGCGATCTCTCCTTTTAGCTCTCTCTCAGATATATGTACACATACACACTTGCAGGTACACACACACTACAGAATAAGAAATTCAGACCCTTAAATAGGTTTTAATATCTCACACACACACATATACACACACCCTTGTCAAACCAAGTCCTCCTGCTTTTCACAGTTGGCAGAGGCTGAATTAAATAATGTGTTCTGAGAGAGAGGAGTTTATTCACCGCGTGCTGAAGACGAAGGAAGGAAGGAAAGAAGTGAAGATGGACACAGAGGGTGGCAAACTGATACAGAAGAGGCCTGTAAGCCTTTCTTTTGTGCCCAGGGACAGACGGACTAATTGACTAATGGCTGCCTGTGGATGTGAGCGTGACTCGAACATAAGACCACATGGTTCACGTGACCTGCTCTTCAAGAAACCAATCGAGGAGGGATGGCAGAAAGCAAGCAAACAAAAAAAGAATTAATAAAAAAAAACAAAAAAAACAAGAAAAATATCATACAATGCATAAATTCATGCATACCAGTGAACTTCATGCAGTGCAAAAAATCCAAGCTATATATATAGATATTTATATATATATGTGTGTATATAAATATGTATATATATAAATATAAATATTATATATTCCTGTAATAACACAATTCAACTTTTAAGTTTTTGTTAGTTTTTACCCCATGTTGTGTGTTGGTGTACACTGTGTGTGTGATCTGCCTTTGTGCACCATTTAACCTCTTCCCCAACACATACACACACACACATATACACACACACAAACATACATTCTCACCCCTCTTGCCCCCGCTGCTATTTGGCAACTATTTAGCATATGGAAAATAAAGGAGAGGTTTTATTTAATAAGGAAAAAAAAATGCAAAAAGGAAAGCATGAAGTTAAAGAAATGACTGGATGCAACATTTTTACCTGGGAGCACACACACACACACACACACACACACGCACACACACACACACACACACAGCTCCAGCCCTCATCAGACCCCCTTCTCGTCCACACGACAACCTCCCCTCACCCTCCCCGCCTTACCTTTCGTCTTGTTCTCTCACCCCCCTCCCCATACCTGCTTCCCACCCCACCTGGCTTTAAGTACGTCTGTCTTTATTTTACTGCTGGACTATTATTCTTGTACAGACTGTAAAATGTATTATTTTGTACAACTTTATTGAAGAAAAAAAAATAACTTGTAGAAGATCCCTGTGCCTTGATCACGACTGTACGTGTAAAAATGAGCTAACATGTAAGTTATGTTTCACTGCGCTGTACAGCTGGACGGGTCTGTCGCACCTCGTCCGAGCTAGCTCACCCCTCCGCTGGGAGGTGGGGGAGGGGACGGGCATCGGATCGGGGCGGAGGCCTTTCGTCTGTTGCTTAGTTTTCCATTTACTTTTTTTTGTTTGTTTGTTTGTTTCCCCACATTTGTTTGTTTGTTGATTCATTTGTTTTGCTTTGACTCTCCTCTGGTTTATATAATAGGATTTGAAAAAAAAAAAAATGAAGGAAAAAAAAAGATAATCAGACACACCACCCTAATGCTGTGTAGTGAAGATACTGAACCGTAACACAATTTAATATATATATAAAATATATTTCAGATTTTATATTTTATATATATGTACTGTACACTTATATCTGTCTCCCTTGTGAGCTGTGGCCTGGGTTTCCTTTGCTTTCTGTCAGTAACATCTGAAAACATTTTACAGAAGGTGGCAATTCTGGGTGCAATGGGGTGGGTATTAATTTCTTTTTTCTTTTTTTTTTAAAATTTTAGCTTTAACTCTTGAAGGAGAGGGAAATATCCAATTGCAAAACATTGCTTGTTTCTACATAAACCAAATTCTTTTTGCTTAAACAAGAGGAAACAGTTGTATTAGTGTTTGGTTCATTCCTCGGCCCAGGATATTAGATCCTCACATCTAGTCCACGTCACATAAACTGTCCGTTTATCAGGTACGCTTAATTTAAATTAAAGTCATCTAACACAACAGTTCTGGAATAAACCTGATCTCCATGAAGGTTAGAATGTTCACTGATTAAGTTTACTATTTTAATATCCATTAATGTTACAGAATTTACAAAGAAAACTGAAAAACACAGGTACATACTACTACAAACATACGTGTCACATGTGTATTATACATATATAGATAATGCCTTTTCATCAGCAACGCAAACTACATCCACAAAAATGACTGAAAAGTTGAATCAACAACTAAACATTATAATCTTCATGAAGATAAGATTTATTACAAGGCCGGTGGTTAGACTGTATCAGTTTTAGTAAGGTGTACCTAATAAACTGGAAATTAAATGTAAACTATAATCTGTGTTTCTGACACCCATCACTTGGGTTTTCTCCAGAGACTTTTGCCACAACAACTGCATGACAAGAGGCAGCCTGAGTTTTCACCACATGCTGATGATCCTCCTGCTGCCTAAACAGAGTTCAGTTTTATTCATTTGATTCAAATTTGGTCTTCATCTTTGCTATGAACGTGACATTGGGGTTTTACTTCACAAGTCTGAGTTGTTTAGGATCACACGCTCTGAAGTTAGCAGTTTTTCTGCTTGGAAAGTCAAAACTGAGAAGTGATTTGAGTTCATGACAACTGACACAACCAAAGTGCGATGTACAACACACTCACAGGCCTCCCTGGAACATGTCACCATTGTTGTTTTCAAGTGTTTTATTATTTGACTTGTTTTCTTAACAAATCCAAATCCCTGGGTTCATTCCTGTGGCTCAATCCTGTAGATCTGCAGCAATGACAATGTGAGAAAAAAAGAATTCGTACACTGTTTATTTCTGTGTCAACACCTCCTCACCTGCATAATGTATCACAGGCTGCAGCAATAAGAGGGTTTAATTTTAGCTCAGCAAGAAAAAAAAGTTATTTTTTTTCTGTTTTGGCATTAAGCGATTTTAGTATTTACTGGTTTTTCCATCCGTTCCATTTAATTTTCCCTGTACATTTTGTTAAGTGTCAAAGAGACACAGGTACGCAGATAAATGTAGGTGGATACATCTTAAGCTACATAGGAATCATAACATTAGCTTTTGCTCGTTTGTCAGGTGAGTTTTCGACCTCACTAAAACTACAGTCTTGCTGCAGCCAGAACATACCCTGCTCATTGTTGATGGCACATACTGAACCTCAAAAGAGTTCCCTGATATAATGCTTTACAAGACATTTGAACTACAGAAGATTTGTTAAGAGCCTCCTGGACAAAGAAACACCTGAGAAGATTGAACACTTCGCCGACCCCACCTGTTACCTAGTTGGAGCCACAGGATTATGAGGTGAAGCTGGTAGTTTCTCCTGCAACTCACTTGTTTAAATTCTCATTTGATTAATATTACTCGCCTCTATGCAAACAATAGAGAAGTGAGAAATAAAAGTTCAAGTCTATTTAAAACCTCAGGTGGGACTACACCTGGTAACACAAGATTCGGGGCGGTTTTGCAATCTGCTGCAGCTGACTGGGGACCTGTTTCAGAGGGTCTGTCTGCACAATGTTGCACCACCTGATGTGTGAAGGAGGGATTGTGTTCAGCTAAAGCACGTTAAGTGGTTGATTGATTCAGGGAGGGATAGGAATATTAAAAACCTAGGTGACAGATGTTAATGCTGTATCAGCTTTAACTTCTGCAAGATTTTGGAACTTGGCTGCAGGGATTTCATTGCATTCAGCCACAACAGCATTCAAGTGGTCATTAACTGATGCTGGGGGATGAGGCTTTGGCACACCAACACCAACTTCATCTTGTATGTGGGAGCAACATCATGTTAAAACATAAAAAGTCAGCAGCACACTTTTGATTGAAATATCAAACTTTTCCTTGTTGGGAAGTAATGAGCTGAGTATAAACTCTGAAAAATGGTTCAATAAGTTGTGGGCAGGATCTCAGAATGTTTCACCTATGTGCATTTCACTTCCAACGTCAAAACAGCTGTTTACAAGTCTGTCAAATGCAAAACTCAACAAGTGTCTAGTTGTGGCTACAACTGCACCAAGTTTTAATCCACTGACCACAGCAGATGTTTTAGCTTGCGTTATGCATAATAACACCAAATCTCTGCATTTATTCATAGGGCTTTCTATAAAATCCTGCTTTCCTAGACTTACACGTTTAAAATAGTGTGTCTCATAAATTTCTGCATGTATGAAATCCTAGATTTCAAAATAATTTACTCATATTTTATTCATAATATTTTTAGATATCAAAGCAAAATAATGCGATGTTGGTTGCAACGCAAATAAATTTATAGGCAAGTGAATATCTGATTTTGAAGTTTTGTTACTACTAAATAGTTGGTGGAAAATTTTATGGCAGTGAAATACTGAAATTAATCGACTGAATTTATCTGAATCGGCTTTATTAACCAAGTATGTGAAGACAGAAAGAAATAATTTGATTCACACGCATGCATTAAAGCAAGGCAACAGGTTACAGAAGGAAAATGACTGTTTAACTGCGATGCATAACTATAGATATATGTAAAGGGAAAAAGAATGCAAAATTACATAAGTTTATTATAAATACAGAGTTTTTGACACCTTGTATACATGAGGCAGGTGAAGATGGTGCAAAGGAACAGAGCAGCCTTTCTGGGAAGAGATGTAACCAGGTATGTGATATACACTATGTACAGGGTTGGGTTTCAGAATGAGTTACTCCTGACTGAGTTGAATGTTTTGTCTTCTCTGTATATGGTCTTTATACATTTTCAAAACTTAATTTTTGGCCTCCATAGTGGTCAGGTAATATTTGGGTGGTTTACCGCCGCTCCGAAAGAGGGAGCCAGAGTCTAAAAACAAACACACATTAAAAGGAGAAAAAAAAAACACGTGGCCCGAACCGGACGACACAATGTGCTTCCTCTCGCAGAAACCCCTCCTCCCCGTTTCCATGCATTGGCGCGCTTCGCCTGTGTGGCCGCGGCTCTCTGCTCCTCCCCGGGTGCTGCTGCTGCTGCTGCTGCTGCCGGACTCACTGTAGCGGGCTGCGAGTGAAAACACAGCAGGCATGAGTGCGGCGGGTCACGCTCGGCCCGGTTCGGTCGCCGGCCCCGTCCAGCAGGGACTGAAGGAGGCTCTGATCGAGACGCTGACGGCCATCCTGTCCCCGGTTCAAGAAGTGCGCGCCGCCGCGGAGGAGCAGATCAAAGTGCTGGAAGTGACAGAGGGTGAGTGCTGGCCCGGTTCTGAACGCAGCTCTGAGGGGGTAACGGAGGCTCGCTGACCGGTGCTGTCACTGATTCACGCCGTGGGCCCTGTGCGCAGACCCGCAGCATGCCGACTGCTGCTTCTTTCTGAGCTAACTTTGACTGTGTTGACGAAGCTAACAGGAATAGTGTTAGCAGGGGGTTGTGTTGGCTCTCTGTAGCTAACATTAGGCAGTATTTCCACAAGTTAATGGTGACAAAAGTTGCTCTGAAAGCACACAGAATGCGCAGTTCTAACCCGGTGAGGCGTTCAGGTGCTGTCGCTGCCTTGCTCAAAGTGTCGCAACTAACAAGTGTCATCATAAGCTAGCTAAGTAAGTTGCATTAAGCACATGGGAAATGCGCTGAGCCCGGCCGGCCTCCAAAGCAGCAGCAGTAGCAGCACGGGGGACTCCGGTTTGTTCTTCTGCTTAAAGTTTAAAAGAAAAAAAAAAGTTGAGTATTTTTATCGTTTGTGTGAAAATTCAAGCTAATATTTCCTGAAATGTTAGCTGCGTTCACTTCTGGTCTCGAGCGCATTGGAATTCAATAACGTCACCTGGCAACGACAAAAAAAAATTATGGCAACAGATCTCGACCGTTACTAACTACGTCGTCAAAAGTGTAAGTTCGATGTCAAACAGCGCAAAAGTAACGTCACTCTTTAACCCACTTGGGTTAATTTATTCTGTCGTTGCTATGGCAACGATCGAACGCCTAAATGACAGATTTTCCCGCGACGACGTCTCCCAGAGGGGGGCTTCTCCTGAGAATCCCGCCCAAAGAGCTGCCAGCTTGCTGCATCCTCAGGACCATCAGGACTCAGACAAAGAGCAGCCTCCCTCTCCATCCTCTGAGGGGCTTGTTTGAATATTGAGGGAGGGAAATCTAAGTATCAAACACTTAATTTACAGCATTCTGGTGTTTAAAAAAAAATCACTTTGATTTAACATGTGCAAGAGACATGGCAATCACTCACCCAACGCATGTATTAAAACAAAACAAACATCATCATTCCTGGCAGTTGTAATAACTGTCCACTGTAACACTGCATTATAACAATACTAAGTACAAAATACTGTAGCAAAGATGATTAATAATGGCAATAGCAATGATCATAGGAGTAGTAATAAAAACTGAAACAAAAAGGAAGGAGTTAAATTGATTAACAGAAAAATAGATTTAAAAGGGGTTGGAGTGTCACCCGATCATACATTATAATCATAGAGATTTAAGAGACAGATGACAAAATTGGAGTAACTGCAGCAACACGAATAGAGGAGGTGGAGGTAAATTGTTTCTGGTGGAGTAGGTGGACGGTGAGAGTTCCACTTTAAAAGTATTATGAGTGTCACTACAGGCGTTCCAAAAGCAAGGGCACCCTTACAAAGACTTAAGAGTTTTGTGTTTGTTGGAAAACTAGTCGACATGGGTTGATCACTGAGCCCAATACTGCTGAAAGAGAGTTAAAGATAAATGTCCAAAAAACAAGCCAGTTTGACAAAGCAAGGACTTATGATGCAGTGAGGCTGGTGCCTGCTATATCCATCACATGTAGGGTCTATGTCTGGATTCATTCTGCAGGTTTTTTTTTTTTTTAAGGAGCAATTTCTGTCTTCTCCTACGTGATTCTACGTTGAAAATTCAGACACCAGGTAGCAAATTAATTAAAATATGATGCAGCAATGCTTGCAGGCATTTGGTGTTGCCTTTAAATATTTATTGTCCTGTACATCAACTTTTCTCGTTTAATATTATGCTTGCTGAGTTGACATGCGTATGTGCTGGATGTACTTGACTGTACTATTTTGTGTCGTTTGTTTGTGTAAGCAACCTCTTTAAATGTGCATGTGGCATCTATTTACATCAATGACAAATTAATATATAAAACAATGGACTTTCAGCAAGATTTCTGCTAATGTTCCAAACAAACAAAAAAAAAATGAAGTTGGCTTTATCCAGCATTTAAATTTCATTTCTGAAAGTTAATGCAAATTGAGGTATTTTTGTTGTCTCTCTATGTAATACCTCATTTGCATATAAAATAGAAAAATCAGAAAACTTGTTATACAAAAAAATCTGTCTTATTGCAGCTGCACACTCTTATCCGATGCGCTCCTTTCGAAATAATGTGTCAAGAATTAAAGGGAAAGATATAAGTGAAGTAGTTGGATGTGCTTCAGATTTGTCGATGTTAAATTAAAAAATAAAAACAGATAAAAGCTGAATGAAGGCATCTGCAAGCTGTGAAAATGTTGTTAAGTCCTTCTCCGGTCACTGATTTAACCCCTAAAAACTCTTCTCTGTGTACCAAAATTTAAAGTTTAATTTTTTTTTTTTTTCATGACAGTAAACCCTTCTTGCCTTGAATTTGCTTTGATGTAACTCTACACCGTTGTTTCTTCTCAACTCACCTACCGCTCTGCTCAAACACTGTAAAACGACTCCACACAGCTATGGCACTGAGGGATGATTTTACTCATGACATGTCTGTTCGTATATATAGAAAACACAATGAGGATATCTTATCAAGGTAAATAGCTTCATTTTCACCAGAAGGGTCTATTAATTATATATTTAA